TAGTTTGCTCATAAATTTTATCTCAATTTATAATGACCTCTAACTTGGGTGAAAAAGTCCAAAATCACAGACTGGTCCGGATTGTTGTTTGAAATGATAGGCAGTTTTGTAAAAATCGCCATAAATTGTAGAAAAATCGTATGGAGATGTGCAAGTAGCCATTTTAAAGCTAAAAACTTGAACTATTTGCACCTTGTACAGTTTTGAAAACAAAAATGTGTAAGATGCCCAAAACAGTCCGTGAATGGAGTTGAACTTTTCTGATGAAGGCTGTTAGAAAACTTTTGATAGGTTCTTAGTGTTTTAACTTGTATTCACCCCCTGAAAACTTGAGAAATCATGAAAATGTAGGGGTATGAACTCACCTTGAGTGATTTCAGTAGATGATTGTTGAAGAATGGAAGTGTTTAATTCAAGAACACTTGGAGATGCCTTGAAGGTTTTCGAGAATCTAACATCATAGTTAGGGAGTTTGTGTAAGCAACCAAAGATTTGAGTAGAATGAAGTGAAATAATAATAGGGAGGATGAATTTTTACTTACTAAGTGTGGAAGAACACTTGAATCCAGCCTTGGATCTCGAAAATTTGTGTAGAAGAGTTTGAGAGAAAAAGTGATGTTTGTTACTTAGTGGAATGAGAGAAATGAGAGAAAATGAGGAGTGTGGTTGATTGTTCCAGCTCAAAAACGTGGGAGTGAGTGAAATTTGAGTGTAAGGGAACATTGAAGTGACATAGGTAAGGTGGGGAGGTATGGCTGGTCATAGAGTGGGTGTGGGGTGGTTGCTTGTGACTTTGATTTTTTTTTTTTTTTTTTTTAACTTGCAAGGCACAATGGAATATATTACTCCTATAAAGGAAATTGACTCAATCAAGGACGATTTCACAATTAAAGTTCGGATCATACGTCTTTGGACTCAAAAGTCAAGAACAATGTCTTATAATTGTCTATGTGTGTGTATCTCTTTAAAAATTCTGCAATTTCATCATTTTATGACCCCCATTTGCGAAGTTGAGTATTTATTTCCAAAAATGCGAAACTCCAGGGACAATATTTGAAATCTTCTGTTTTCTTCCCCAATTCGCATTCTACTGTGAAATACTTCGCATCTTCATTCTTACACCCTTCGCATCCCTTCGCATTAAATTCTGCAATTTCATCATTTTATGACCCCCATTTGCGAAGTTGAGTATTTATTTCCAAAAATGCGAAACTCCAGGGACAATATTTGAAATCTTCTGTTTTCTTCCCCAATTCGCATTCTACTGTGAAATACTTCGCATCTTCATTCTTACACCCTTCGCATCCCTTCGCATTAATCACCTTCGCATTTTAACCTAATTAATCAAATTTGAAATCTTCTGTTTTCTTCCCCAATTCGCATTCTACTGTGAAATACTTCGCATCTTCATTCTTACACCCTTCGCATCCCTTCGCATTAATCACCTTCGCATTTTAACCTAATTAATCAAATTTGAAATCTTCTGTTTTCTTCCCCAATTCGCATTCTACTGTGAAATACTTCGCATCTTCATTCTTACACCCTTCGCATCCCTTCGCATTAATCACCTTCGCATTTTAACCTAATTAATCAAATGCGATTCACAAAATTTTTCATTCCAGATGCGAACACAGTTTAGTTCTTGAACTCTAAACTTGCGAAATCAAAATTTTCATATGTTGAACCCATATGCGAATATTAACCCAATTGACTTCAAATTGATTCATAGATGCGAACACTCGATTGTTTTACTTTCGCAAAATGAGCATCAACAACTCCACAATCGAGTTTTTAAATTCTTGCAACCAACAATTTCATAGTCCTTGACTTCGCGTTTTTCTTCACGAATCATCCCTCAATCATCAATCCAAATGCGAATCAAAAACTCATATGTTCTTGCTTTATCGATTCATCGACTACACTCATACAAATGCGAACATAACACTAACCCTAATACACAAGGTTTAATAGAGTTGACCGGCTTGACTTGATGACTTGACTTGACTCAAGATTGACGATTGTCACAAATTGACCCGAATATGACGGTTGTCACATTTACTTGTATTCCCCCCCCCCCCTAAAAGCATATAAAAGTACTCATAAAACATTTAAAAGTGTGCATTATAGGGGTATGAACTCACTTGAAAGATCGGAGGTTGTGGGATGAAAACCGGACAGAATTTCGACTCGAGAAAGTGGATTTCCTCGGGATTTTCGGGAATCTCGGGAGCACAAACGACCTTCGGGACTTGAGCAAAGTGATCGGGGCTTCGGGGTAGCACGGGCACGGAAAACGAAGCAAGAACGCAAGAGAAATGAGAGAAATGGTGCATTTTCTTCGGAACCCTCGCATCCCTTTTATAGGGGTTGGGAACCGACCTCGTACGCTGGGCGTACGGGTGCGTCACGCATGACCGAATCCTCGACTGCCTCGGAGCTCGGATGGGACGGGGCATAGCCTCGCATAGGCGCGATGTGGACGATCCGAGGCCAAGGCCTCGCGTACGCTGGGCGTAACTCGGCCCTATCTGATGACTCCCCTTCGGATAATACCAAGGGTTTTAATTAAAATTTATATTTTAATTATTTAATAAACTTCAAAAATTCATATCTTCTTCATACGAACTCCGTTTTCGACGTTCTTTATATCCACGCGAAGGTGAGACCATACTCTACAACTTTTGTTCAGATCCCGTCGGTAAATTTTGAAATTATTTTTATATTTATTTTTAAAAGATCGCGATAAGAAAATTTATTTAGAAATTCATAACTTCTTTATCTGACGTCAGTTTTTGCTAGACTTTTTACCGCTGAAATACCATTGTCGAGACCTTCAATTCTCGTTTAGGTCATTCCGGCCAAAAGTCGCTCGATCTCTGATTCGAGTTTTTAGCCGTCTATCGTTAAGTCGAACTTGGAAAATTCCTAACTTTCTTATACGAAGTCGGATTTGGGCGTTCTTTTTACGTACGATCACGGTTTAATAACATTTAACATAATAGGTAATTTAATTAGTGATTTTTGGATATTTTATTTTCGAAGTTAATTTTATTATCACGAACGCGGTTACAATACTTGACTTTTTAGGTCGTTTACCTGTAGTTGAAATATCGGGTTGTCACAATTACTAACGACTATAATAATAATAATAATAATAATAATAATAATAATAATAATAATAATAAATTTCTCAAAAAATATCAAACATACTAAAATAAAAATATTATTATTATTAATAATTAAATATAATAATATACTTAATAACAATGTTAATATTAAATATAAGAATATTTTAATATAAGGATAATAATAATAAAAGTTTGAAATATAATAATAATAGTAATAAGAATAATCATAATAAGAATAATAGTAATGTCAATGTGTGATTAGCCCACTTGGTAGAGGTTTGCCTCTTAAATCGGAGGTATCGAGTTCTAAACAAGATGTTGATGATTTCATTATATTATTTCCTAACTATTAACCCTGCCGTTCAATAATAATAATAATAATGATAATAATAAAAGTTCATAAAAATAAGATATTTAAAATAATTAGATTAATTGTAAAGTTACCAATAATAAGATCAATATGTATAATAAGTAATTAAAATAATAATAATCCTTCGTAATAAATCAAAATCTTTTTATCACATGTCGTCTTCTCATTTATTTGAATACGTGTTATTTTCTATAATTTTTGAAAATTTTATTTTCCACTTATCATTTTTTTTGTACTTTTCATTTTATTAAATTAAAATTCCACATTAAATATGTAATATATGTAATGTATTTTTTAGAAGGCTTTATATATTTAATGTATTCAATGTATTAAATCCTAATTAATTTTAATAATTTAAATTTTTTCTAATTATTTTTATAAATTCAAACTTCTTAAATTATTAACATTTCATATTTATTTTTAAACTAATGTAAAAATAGATCTCACACCTAGTATTACATATTTTTTATCTAAATTATTTTGGTCGGAAGAAGTTGAGAAATTTCGGTAGGAGGAAAATGATATTTCTTATTTTAGTGTTATGTATTTGAAATTTATGACAAATTTCTCAGGAAATATCCAATTAATGTTGATTATTTTGGTCGTAAAATGGTCCGAAAGTTCAATCACATTTCCGACCGTTTCAAACTTTATCAATATTTTATCTTGGGTTTCATCTGTGTTGGAATTTTGTAGCAATCTCCCATGCTTTTTTTTCCTCTAAACTTTTTGTAGGATTTAAAATGTGATTCAAGTAGTATTATTTATAGGTTCCCAACTAAAGAGTGTTTATGCAAGCCTAGGAGAGATAAAAAGTAGGATCTCTAGTCTTTGTAAAGGGGTTTCTCTTCCATGTCAATTTGTCTAGTCCTTATCTCGAATACGAATTCCCTTAAACTCCGATGTGAACCACCTAACTAAACACGCCACGAGAAAAAGTCAGCCATATATAATAAATGTTCCTAGTTTTATTTGACTATTTCATGGTTGATCCACAGGCTTTGTTGTTCTGTTTAAAAGTTACAACCGAGAGTATGAGATATGCATCACATCGTTGTAAAGGCAAATAAAGAAGGTTTATAACTAATAAATAATCACAAAAAAGGACAGTATTACCAAGTCCAGATTAATGTTCGGTTTGTGAAATTCCAAATACGTATTTTATTGTGGTAGCTTCAACATTTCATTACTAGTTTTATCCCACTCTTCCACCTGTTATATGTCTTGCAAAGATAAATTATATAAGATACAACACTTGACTTTAAAGAACATCTCCTAGTGGTTCTTGCACCTATTACATGTCTTGCTAAGTTGCTATATATGATAAAATATACATGATACAACATTTGACTTTTAAACGACTTCATGCTAGTCAACCTTTAAAAGATTCTCTAAGCCACAACGTACGCGCTTCTAAGCAAACTGGGTTCTATATATATTCACAGAAAAGATGATACTACCATTAACCATACATAATCACCAATATAAAAAAGAAAAAAACAATGTCTTCGGTGATAAACCTAGAAAAACATCGAATTCCACTGAACGAGATCATTCGTGCCACAAAAAACTTCAGTTTAGAAGTTGTAGTCGGAGATGGTGGATTTGGTATGGTCTACAGAGGACGGCTCTCTAACCATTGGGAAAACCAGCTAGTAGCCATCAAACGCCTTGATGGTAATCTTTATCAAGGAAACAAAGAGTTCCATAATGAACTCAAGTTGGTTTCAAGTTTCAACCATACAAACATCATCCCATTCGTTGGCTACTGTGATGATGCAAATGAGAAAATTATAGTTTACAAGTATGCTACAAACAGAAGCCTTGATTATCACCTCCGAGACCTAAATATGAGGCGTTGCCTAACATGGGCACAACGCCTGAAGATCTGCTTGGGGGCAGCAAGAGGTTTAAAGTACCTTCACTCAGGTGTTGGGGAACACAGGAGAGTAATTCATAGAGATATGAAGAGTGCAAATATTTTGTTAGATGATACTCTGGAAGCCAAAATATGTGATTTTGGTTTGTCAAGATTAGGTCCAAGAAATCAGCCACAGACCTATGTCCGTACAAGGCCTTCTGGTACAAGGTATTACATTGATCCAATTTACAACGAAAGAGGTAGGCTCTCTAAAGAGTCCGATGTTTACTCATTTGGAGTGGTAATGTTTGAAATGTCGAGTGGGATGATGGCTTATGAAAAGGGCGTTGGAGATGCTAATGAACGATATCTAATCGACATAGTTAGAAGCCACTATGACGACCATAAACTTGTTGGCGGACTTGACCAGTTAATGGACCCCTTTATCAGAGGTCATATTAATATGAGTTCTTTTGTTAAATTTAACAAAATTGCACATGAGTGCATTAACTTGGACTTAAGGAAACGCCCTACATTAGATAGGATCATCAAGACGATTGGGGAAGCCATGAATATTCAAGTAAGTCTTTTACTCATCAATATTATCAAGGAAATATATTTTCATAGCAAGATTGAAAACTATCATGCCTGGATCATCCTTCCTAATAAATGAAAATAATTTTGCTATATGTCACTCTCTTATTAAATTGGACACATTATTTTTTAGTATTTTTGAATAAATGTTTTTTCCATTTGTCATTTTCTCAATTTTTTTTATCTTTTCTTAATTAACACATCATATTTACACCTTAATTAATAATTGCCTTAATTGAAAATAACCAATAATTACAATATTACTTATATAGTATTTTTAATATGTTTCCTTTTAAACCAAATTTTAAAATTTAATTTCAAATCTAAAATTTCAAATTTAAATAAACTTCTGTTCAAACATTTATGTTTAATTATTTTTGTATTATCTAACGCGTATAACATACGGGTCTTACAACTAGTACACTAATAAAATAGTAACTTTTTTGCCATGTGTCACCATATTAGATATTTTAATTAATGTGTTGACACGTGTCAATATATTAGTTTTCCATTTTAAATTTATTAGACCTTCTCATTAATGTGATTCTATTTTAAATTTTAAATTTTAAATTATTGTTTTCATTAATTCACAAATAAAAAATATCTAATATATATTAAAAATTAATTTTATATATTTATTTGAATCAATGATTATAATTTCACATAACTAATAAAAAATATCTCTTAAATTAATAATTTATTTAAAATAACTTATTAATAATTTTGAATTTTTACTATAAAAGTTTCATTAATTTTATAACCGTGGTTTCCACGGGTTATAAACTAGTATATTATATATGCTTCTATTCTATTTTTTTTTAAATAACAATAGTCTATCACTAAAAGAATATATAGATTTGTCTCGAAACCAAAACATCTTATCTTTAATTCCTCCGTAAACTCATTCTAGCAACAGATTTGCAGGTAAATTCAACTGCTTCATACTTCTAAAGGAGTCGATTTATTCTTTTTACTAATCACTTAATCAATAAACTGATAAGATTTCCAGTAATGTAGTGGGTACCTGCATTGTCCAATTTGTTTATGGACAGTTATAGATCCTCGAATGACAAACCAATTAATTAACCCAGAAAACTCGTCATGAATTAGGATATGGAAAGATATTAAAAAGTGAATGTGATTCTTTTTTTTAATGTTGGTATTTGCAAGTGCCAGTCAATCATCACTTGTTATGCGGGCACTACAAGAAATTGTAACAACACAAGAATAGGAATAGTGTTTTATACCAAATATTTTCAATGAACAATAATAACTTCTTATTTAAAAAATCAACAAAAAAACATAAAAAAATAATAATTCGAACAACAAATATAATCAACTCCTAAACTACTCATTCATTTCACATATGTCCAGACCGCACTTGAATCCTCAACCTTAAGTAGGGAGGACAATATCTGATACCGCTGAGCTAGAAATTCTTTAATAACAAAATAACTCAAATGATTATGTATAAACTCAAGATGAAATTCAAACTCTTACAAGAACAGAAAATAGTACTACAAGAAACCACGACAATATAAAATTAAATATATTGATAAGTGAATATTAAATGGTAATTTTATATATGATTATGGTTGTTGGAGGTGGAAGAGGTGATGATGGTTCAGGTGACAAATCTGACAATGGTTGGTCGGTTGGTGGCGGAGGTGGTGGTACTGATGGTGGCAATGGCGGTTGTGACGGTGGCGGTGACAGTTTTAGTGGTGGGGGAGTGGCTAAGGAAAAAAAGAACGGAAAAAAGCTATCTGGAATATTAAACTTTATCAAAAATAAAGGTCAACATGATGTTGAATTGGATGCACGGACACATTTTAGACACCCTATAAACATCTTTATCAAAAGTCAACCTGTAGGTAACTTATTTTAATCATCTTTTTCAGAAAACAATGCAATTTTAACCAATAAAAATACCTTAAAAACTATTTAGGGTGTCTAAATGGTAATATGGGGTGTCCCTTTAGCTAACCCCACATTCATCATAATCAATACCTTTTTGTTATCCTTTTCCGTTATAGCGTTTTAGAGCTTACTTGATAACCTTAATCAATACATGAAGCAACATAACCAAAATATCATCGATACAGGTTATGCCACGCCATTTGTAATAAGTATTTCGCTATTTTCGGAAGGCCGACTACAGAAATACTATCCCTAAAGTCTATGGATATGTGTTAAGTTGGCGCCATCTAGATAGTGTTCAACTCATAGGAAGATTCCAATGCCGTTGAGAAGTTGTTTCTGCCATCGGATTACCGTGAAGTATTCATTTGGAGGTGGTTTTCTTTCTTGGTTTTTGGTTCTAAAAGTAGCTTTACTGTTTAGGTCATCCATATCAGTGCAATATCAATTATATATATATATATATATATATATATATATATATATATATATATATATATATATATATATATATATATATATATATATATATATATATATGACAGGATCAGTACTGAAATAAACCATGTACATCAATACAATATTCATATTCATAATAACAAAATGGTTCAAACATATTTATTATATTAATAAGTAGAAATCTCCTAAGATTTAAATATTAATGTATTAGTTTGCTATTTCATTAGCAAAAAAATAATATATATTAATTGTTTGTGCGTTAGGTCTTCATAATAACATAAAATTATAATATAATATTTATTAGAGCTAATATAAATATAGTTTTATATACATTGTTGTCACATTATTTATAGATATAAATTTAATCATAAGTTTAAAATATATAATATATTATAATTTTTATAAATATTACATTAAAATATAGTTTTATATAACATTTAATTTAATATATAGATTAAAATTCATAGTATAAATATAACATTAAAATATAAGAAGATAAGACTTGAAAGACTTTTAACTTTAGAAAGAACTCACCCTACCTGGCTTGGAAATAGTGGAAACATGGCATTGCAAAAGTTTTGAAGTCGTCGATGTAGGTGATCTTATCGCATTCACATTTTCCATTATCAAGACTCATATATCATCCTTGTGATACGCTATTTCCTTTTTCCTTGTTAAGTATATCTACATATCCTCTTCGATATGTGTTCCGGTTAAAACTGCATGCAACTACAAAGACTTTCCAAAATACAAATCATAAACATTTAAAACAAAATTTAATACCTTAATTCATAAGGAAAATGATTTGTTTCTCTTTAATTGTTGAACATGTCTTTTGCTAAAATTTGGTCTCTTATTATTCCTTAATAGTGCTTCCAGCTAGATAGGGAGAGTGGGAACAAGTGTTATATGTTGGGGGC